CAACTATGTGGGTGAAACCAGACAATCAATAAGCTCTCAAATAAACTCACACAGGAAAATGATAAAAGACAAAAACACCATATCACATTTTTCATTGTTCACAAAGGAATCACTCCGTATCTGACCTCTCAGTCCTTATCCTCAAAGGACTTCACAACACTTTCAAAAGATGAGCCTGGGAGCTTAAATTCATAACTCTGCAAGACACTAAAAATCAAACTGAACAGAGACACTGGATTTATGGCTTATTACCATAATCTGTAACCCAGTAGACCACCCCCTTTTGTCCTGTGACTGGAGAGAATACCTTGAATGGTCCCTTACAATGTGTGTTATTTACTTATACTAAACAATCTGTGCCTTTCCCTGACTTGAGGAAGAGCTCTGTGTGGCTTGAAAGCTTGTCTCTCTCACCAACATAAGTTGGTTCAATAAAAGATATTACCTCACCTACCTTGTCTTTCAGAATAGCTCAGATAGTTGGAAACACACAGAGGCAATCATTTATAGTCTATTGTCTAGACTGCTGTTCTCAAGTAGGAAAGAAGGCTGTGAGGACATTCTATATAGGGCTTGTGGTGTCAGCTGACAGGGGATGCCCTTGGCTTAAAGTCTTGTTTCTCAGAGAATTTAGTCTTGGTATTTGGCATGCTTTGATTTGATAAGATTACTTGTGGCAAACTAGCCAAGCCAGCAGTTAACATTCAATAATTTAACTCCAACACAGAATAGATGAGAGACAGCAGCACATGGGCCAGGTAGATAGGGAAGTTGGCAAGAAATACAAGCAGATCTAGTGGCCTCGGGAAAGTTTCGGACTATGGTGAGGATTGGACATTCCCCTCATCTTCCCGCACTTACAGAGCTATTTGTCCCAGTTGTACAGAATTAGCAAGAGGCTTCCCAATGTCAATTAGCTTTTCCTGGGCAGTGGGCTCCCTGCTTCTCCTTCCAGTATTCTTGGGCTTCCAAAATCCATAACTATCCTTAGTCTCTGTAGGTCAGATTTTTCAAGATATTTAGATGCCCAAAGAAGAAGATAGGTACCTGATTGGATTTTCTCAGCTTCCCAGTCTGCAAAATGGGGACTACGATATAGGGCTATTATTAGGATTAATTAGTTAATGTTTGTACAGAGCTTTGCAAGTGTAAAATGCTATGTAAGTGTATTACTATTCTATAAAATATAGAACACAGTAATCCACAGCCTTTATAGAATAAATTCATAACAAAGCTTGCTAAATTAGATGGTGCTGCTATTTTTATGGATTGGACAATACACCAAATCCCACTTTGAAGTCAGTGGAGTACTCTCTTGCTCTCTTATTTTGGAGGTCAGGAACATGGAAATTTATATTGAGTTTTCAGTTTGAAACAAAAAGAATGAAATCCTCTCTGACTTCTAATCTTAAATGTACAATGTTGTCTCTTGTGTTTTGAAACCTGTTACATTCATATGAAATCTTTTCACAAGACATTATGT